GGCGGACAAGACTCGAATACGTTGTACGAGCGGGACAAAAGGCAGGAAATTGCACGGTATCGCGTAGCGAGCCCGCACGAGCAGCGGATCGGAGGGCCGCGGATAGACGCCGATAAAAACTCGTAAATTAATTCCATGTTGCGCAGAGGTCCCCGACGCCATGGAGCCTCGTGCCAACCTCGCTTAGTCATGACTCCGCGTTACTCCACTCGTCGTGTTCGTCGCTCGTAGATTACTGTAATGGCCGCCTCGAGATACTCGCCGATTCGATTCGCGAAAGATGGACATCGAATCGGGTAAAAAAGAAGAAACACGCGAAAGAAAGAAATCTGAGGAAGGGACACGAAAATAGACAAGCCGGCGGAAGCGCGCTTTCCTAACGAGCGTGATACAAAAATAACAGGGCTACCCCTCGGCCGAGCATTATTTACATAACAGTACACTTTAACGTACAGATTTTTTCTTCGAATCGTTACCAATTTCCGTTGGATATCGGAATTCTATTCCGAGATGCAACGATGCACGAGCGGAAAACGATTGTTTGGAAAAGAACCACAGGCACACGGCTCTCCGACCAAAATTAGGGATATACATCGCGTCGATGTTTGAAAATCTTGATTACAAACGCTCCATTCGGACGATAGTAGTAGCCTTGGAAGCTCTCTGAACGCTGTAGTTCCGCGAAACGCGATCTGTTAGCTCGTCTCTGATTTCGATCTATGGAATATCGACGTCGGTCGATCGAAATAACACGTCAAATTACGTAATAGCGAGACCGCGTTTGCGTGTCGCCGGTTTACGAACAGATTGAAGCCTGGCCGAGCGCAACGCGGCGACGAAACGCTCTGTCGAGAAGACAAACTAGGTTCGGTCGTTCGCCTTTCAGCGTCGTGTTACGCCGTGCGAACACGAAAAACCTACACAGCATGGAAAATGGAAAGCGTCGACGAGCGAAAGAAGAGAATGGTGGCCGCGCGCAAGCGAGCCCCTCCAGTCAGCCCTCTTGATATTTCCTTTGAAACGTCAACGCGATTCTTCTATCCGGATATCACGAGCATCCCGCAGGTTGTTCGATATCGGAGCGATGCATCATCGTCCGTAATTTTCTGCCTACATCGGTCGCGATTTAAACTTAGAATCGTTGCGACGTTACCAAGTTTCACCCATGGAGAAAATAGAAACGATATAACACGAACGCGCACGTGCGTATATGAGAACCAGTGTTAATGTACATCGCGGTATGCCATTGATAACTCGGTCGTTCTCTCTTGGCACTCGCTATCTCTAGTTCGCGCTAGGCTCGATTTTCCATCGTCGACTATCGAGAAACCTTGTCGCGTTCTCGGCGGATAATTGCGAGATTAAGAAAGTGGAGCATCGGCACGACGCGCTTACTTATGAAATTGCCTGTAACTACAGCATCGGCTTGTAAGATTTACCGGCGTGTCTCTTATTCGAACTCGACTCGGTTAAATCCTATTTTAATCGAAACGCGAGTGCGTGCGCCAGCGTATGGCTCGTTTCCTAGAATAGGCAAAAACGACGAGTTCGTAGCGTAATGAGCACAATAGCGGGCCAAAAAGGATCGCATTGTCATAGAGTTTTGCTGGTATTGTGTTGGTGGTGTGCCGTGGCCTGGTACGCGACGAAGCGTGCGCGACGACAGTTCGGCTGCCAGGGAATCGCTTCATTAGCGCCACTTTCTTCGTCGCTTCGCGTCACCCTTAACGAACGACCGAGCAGAGGATACGACGAAAAGGGGTGGTCCCGGCCTCTTTTCGTTACCCCGTGAATCTCCCTCGAAAACTAACATCTTAGTAACGATGCTTATATATTCTTTCCTGCGTTTCTTTTTAAGGGTCTACTACGACTCACGCTCTTACAGCGCCGCTCAGATTGGTGTGGGGCAGCGAGGGCAAAGACGTCGAATTACCATGCGACATCACTCCACCGACACCGACCGACTCCGTGAACATGGTGCTTTGGTTCAAAGACACCGCTGGGATACCTCTTTACAGGTAACGTTCTCCCGCCATTCCATTCCTTTCCTTCTATCTCGTCCGGACAAAGGACAAAGCTAGCTGTTGTATCCTAATCCCGTGTATGTTATTTGGCGTAACACGATGGACCGAATTTACAAATCCATTTTTTTCTTTTCTCTTCTCTGCTTTGGTCACGCAAAATGTACGATAAAAGAATGATAGCCGAACAGAGTAAAGATAAACGACAGACATCGATTCACCGTGACTTTATTTTACCGGATATACGCGTTCCTTTGACATCCGTTTCGCCAACTTGTCGTTAACGCGAAATCCATCAGGAAGGAAGAAGCTCGAGCACGAGTCGCGTGGTCGCTTGTCGACCACGCTTAATATTCCTAGATGCCATTGTTCTGACATCGTATCTCGAAATATCTCAAGCCAAGCATCCGAAATAGGGTTCCTCTGTACCGTCTTGCTCTATTATGCAGTCGGGACTCTGCCGTCGTTCTTGGAAATAAGCCGCGATCCTTATCACCGCTATCTTATTCGTCGACTCTCAACAGCCAACGACCAGTTTAATCAAAATGATCGCGCGTGCTCCACGAGTCGCGATTGACCGTTCGACCGAAAGTAGGATTGAGGTAGATCGCGTAACGTAAATAAACCAAAAGACCGTCGAGGATGGTTGGCATCGACCGTTGGAATTTCTTAATACCAACGAACTTTCAGAAATAGAGTGGTGGATCGTCATTTCGTGCTGACAAATACACGTAAACAGTGTATTCCGGATGGTTTATTTATGAACGGGAGTTGTAAGTTTGTCCGTAAAATGGAACGGTCTGTTTCAGTGTCGGCGAGCCATTAATCGCGAACCGGGCATCGTTGTACGAGCGCGAGATTACGGCATAAAGAATTTTCCTGGGAAAGGGCAAACGCGTGGATTCGAAGAGAAAAGAAAATCCCTTTTGCGGCTGGGTCTGTTCCGCGTGAAAGAGCGATCGTAAAAAAATACGCCGGAAAGGAGGGACGTCGAGCGAGACGAACGCAAAGCAGGTGGCTTTGAGATTTTACGAGTTCGGTTATTCGTACCAATGGTCTGTGCCCTTCGACACAGTTTTTTTTCCTTCGGCTCCCCACGAGGCTCGTAGCAGGCAACCGTCAAGAAGAAACGAAAATCCGAGGGAAGAAGAGCGCGGGAAAGAAGTTGGTACAGTTACGAAATAGTTGGAGAAGAGCGAGACGTTTACAACCGGCGTCACAATTTGCAGCAAATCGACTGCGAGTTGATTCTTTTTCCGTCGTGTTGCCGCGGAGATTTCCTCTTCGACATTGCGTAACGGTCAACCGTTCGCGGTGAATCTAAATTCGCTGACTACGTGCTTGCCAACTATCCTTTTTTTCTCCGTAAATAGATGCGCGTGCTAGAGTTAGTCACTAAAACTGGCCAAGGGGGGTCCACGGTCCGGTGTTTACCACCTCCTTTTACACCCGGAAACGTCAACTCGCCCGATCGTTGACTCGTCGATTGTCGAGCCAAGAATTTCGACCTGCTGATCGGCAGAATGCTCCGGGTAACCGGGTAACCTCGCTACTTTGATCTTGATGCCGCAGCGAAAGGAAACAAATTGTGTTCGACGATCGAAAAACGTTGCTCGTCTTTCTGCGCAGCCTGGACGCAAGAGGCAAAGATCTCGCCTCCGCCGTTCATTGGGCGGTCAGCGATGATCTCGGCAAGAGGACCTACTTTCAGATCGGTGATGGCCATCGAGCTAAGCTCAAAGTTACCAAGGTCACATTCAAAGACCAAGGAATCTTCAGATGTAGGGTAGATTTTATCAATTCCCCGACGAGGAACTTTCGGGTGAATCTCACGCTCGTCGGTGAGTATCGTCCAAAGGGTAGAACGTTTGCCGTTCGATCGTAACAGGCGTAACGAGTTCGCGTTTTTCTCCTCTTTCCAGAAGAACCATCCAGACCTGTGATATACGATGCTCAGGGGCGAGAGGTGACAAGAGTGGCTGGACCCTTCTTGGAAGGTTACAATCTCGACTTGACCTGTCAGGTGTCTGGGGGTAAACACTTGTACTTTTTTCCAACGATCCAAGTTCTTGCACAGTTGCCCTAATCGTGTTATTATTTATCTTAGGAAGACCGAAGCCTACGGTAGTATGGTGGAAGGACGGTAAGATATTGGACTCCGTCGTTGACACAATTTCTATCGGTTCCCCGAGCAAATTCACGGTGAACCGTCTTTTCATCAACGAGGTGACGAGATCGTTGTGGGGCACGAAGCTCGAATGCAGAGCTCAGTCGGAGCAGATGACCTCTCCGATCGTTCGCGAAGTGCCTCTAGATGTTTACCGTGAGTATCGCGTAGTGTTTTCTCGTCGACTGGCTTTGACAACGGCGAAACAAACGACGCGGTTCAGAAAGGGCAATCGCGAGTGGCGCGCGAGCCTAACATCTGGCAAGAATAAAATAGAACGAATAAGCGCGCTCCACAAGGTCGCATCTTCGAATCTTAACGCGTGCTAAAAGCGATCGCGGACGGCTTAAGCGACAAGTTAGTCCGATTTAGTTCCGTCCACGCGTTCTTCTCCTAGCGTTCGCCTTTTGCGTCCGCCCTGTCGATATCTTGCACGATCCAAGTCGTTCCGAGGAAAAAGCGTATCTACGAGCGCGCGCGGCTTCTAAATATTACGTAAGCCGCGCGTATTTCTCGCGAGGCGTTCAAATTTCTAGCCAGATCGAGGCTGTTCGATGTTCGAACCGCACCGCACGCTCAATGGCTTCCTACGTTGCAACATAAGCGCCGGACATCCTGCGTGGCAAGAAATATCGCTCTTATTCATCCGAATGTCCTGCGGCTCGGCCGACGAACAAGAAAGAAATTTAAATATAGTTGGAGCTAGTGACCCGCGGCGGAAGCGAGATGAATTCCAACGATTTCGCGCGGGCCTCTTCTTAACTCCTTTGACGGTCGTATTTCGTGGAATTGTCGTTGAAAGTAAAAATACGCGGTTCGAGTGGCGAGCATGTGGCTCCCTCGACCCGTTATTTTCGCCACGGCTCGAACCAGCTATAGGACTCGTCCTCCTAGCAATTTTTTGTAGGCAGTCGCGGATCCTTGGAGAATCGCTGAAGCGATCGAGCGAGAAAAGGAACGCAGGCGAAGCAGGCGTTTTCTTCGCGGCATGCTATCTCGATCGAGTATACGCACGAACGAAATTCGTAATCGTCGATTCGTTTCGCAGTGAAGCCTGCGATCGTAAAGATCGTCCTGATCGACAGTCAAATCTACGCCGGGCGTCCGCTCGCGGCACGCTGTGAAACCTGGGGAAGTTCTCCCGCTGCCAGGATCATCTGGAGGCTAGGCGGACAGACGATAGGCGATCCCAACGTGTCGACTACGCAGAGAAGCAATTCGACGATCAGCAAGCTGGCTCTGGTCCTTGGCAAAGACGACAATGGCAAGAGATTAACCTGCAGAGCCGAAAATCCCAGATTTCCCGGCGGAGTGCTCGAAGAAACTGAGATCTTGGACGTTGCCTGTAAGGTTTCCCTCTTTTTCCATCTTATCAAACGATACGTACATCTTCCCAAAATGACACACAGCTTCTGTGACTTTCGCGTTTAGACATACCGGTTGTTTCCATCGACCTAGCCACCGGTTACGTCCTGGATACTCTCAGAGAAGGGGACGATCTGAAGCTGGTGTGCGACGTGGAGAGTAACCCACCTCCGACCCGAATCATTTGGTACCACAAGGTAGGAAGAGCTTTTACGCGATTACTCGGTTCTAAGAGGGAGTACGAATCACGGGCCCTTTCAGGACGATCGATTGGAGCACGACGTGACCGGTGGAACGCTGATAGCCTCCAACACGTTAACGCTGAGGGTACTCACTCTGGCTCATGCAGGCGAGTATTCGTGCGAAGCGGTGAATTCCGTGGGAGAGGGTCGGAGCCCTCCGATTTTCGTTCAGATGAAATGTAAGTACATGTTTCTCGGCTGCTACTACTGCAATTTCGACTTTCTCAACGGAGATTGTTCTGCCGGATAGACGCGCCGAGATGCAGAGCAGGTTACGAGCGACGCGAGGTCACGGCTGGTCGCCACGAAACGGTGTCGCTACGCTGCGAAGTCGACGCTGTTCCGAAAGACGCGGTGCGATTCTCTTGGACGTACAACGGAACGCGCGGTGACGTGTTGCCGATGCCAAACTCCAGAGCTCGGAATAACGGGCTCGTTAGCGTTCTCGAGTACACTCCTACCACCGACGCCGACTTTGGAACTCTGGCTTGCTGGGCGAGCAACAGCGTCGGCAGACAAAGGACCCCTTGTGTATTCAACATCGTGCCCGGAAGTACGTGTCCTTGGAAATTGATAACTAGAACAAATTCCACGAAAGCATGCCGACGAAACTTCGACGTTTTCGCGTGCTCTTCCGCTTTTTATTTGAAAGCGTCTCGCGGTAAAGGGACGAAGCTTCCTTAAGAAGCCAAGTTCAACGTGTTTCGTCGATAGCGCCATTTCACGGCCGTTCGATTTGTCGACCAAGTTTTCGAATTATCTTTGACGACGAGTCACTGTTCCTCTGTAAAGTAACGAACGTTACGATTCGCAGAGCCACCGCAGCCACCGTTCGACTGTTCTCTGCACAATGAAACCACCTCGCTGCAAGTGAATTGCGTGCCCGGCGCCGATGGTGGTTCCCCGCAATACTTTTTGCTCGAAGTTCGAGGGATACCGAGAAACTCCGGGGTCGTTCAGATGAATCCGCCGACGCTCCACGCGCCTCAAAGCGACCAGGGAATGGTCGGAGACGTACCGGCGATATATCAAGAGAGAAATCCAAGGCCAAGCTTTCAGCTGCACGGTCTTGAACCCGGTTTCGATTACACGTTATACGTGTACGCTGTGAACGACAGAGGAAGGAGCGAGCCAGCGCTGTTGGAGCATATACGAGTGGCTGAAGTTATCGGCGGGAAGATCGAAAGAAACGGCTTGTTTCTGGAGGATCTGAAAAAGGCACTTCCCAAGGCTAGCTCGGAAAATATGATCATCGTGATCGCCTTGACAGGTACAGGTAATCGAATATAGGAAAATTTATACACTCACGTGTTTCACACGACACGCGTCCATGGACGAGTGAAAGCGAACGAGATTTTGGATCGAAGGTGCGGTGGCTTTGATCCTGATCGGTATCGGGGTGATCATCGGGTTGGCTATCTGCAGGAGAAGGACCGCGTCGCCGCTCAAAGACGGTCCGGACGATTTTACCACCCCCACCTACGTCTCTGCTCAAAGGATCGAGCCAAGGATCAGATACTCGGGCGACAGCAGACGTTCTCAAAGAACGAGCTTGTACATCGAGGAAAATCGAAACGGTAGACTTTTCTTCGACTCTCGAAAAGCATAAATTTCGCAAACGTTTTAACACGCGAATGCTCGAATCTTTGAAAATTATTTGAAACCATATAATTGCGATCTTAGTTGAGTTAATGTTCGCTTCTTTTTATATTTACAGAACCGGATCTTCTACAGAGAGTCGAGATCGATCTACACGATTAATCTTCCAAAGGCTGCTTTTTATTTTGTACAGTTAGAGGTAAAACGTCCATCCTTGTTTACTATACTTGTACGCTTTTCGCGACGCGCTGTGTATATATCGGTCGGGCACAAGTGCCTCTTTCCTTAGGATTTAGGATAGTAATTCGGTAAGGCATAAGAGAAGAAGAGAACAACATGATGCATCGTGAGTTTCCTCCGATGATTTAACACTGTTTCCAGAATTCCTGTACCTGTTTTTTTTACAATAGTATTCGAGGAAGTATCTTTTAAAACGTCGGCTAGATGACGAACTTTAGAACGTTATTTATTGCATTTCTTGCTGTAATTTACGTGCCATATTTTTTTCTTTCTTTGTGCCTTTTTCTTTTTATTTTCTTCCATCCGGATGAACAAAAAATAAAAGTATTATAGGTAATTGCGCGACGGTACTCATCGACTCGTGTCTTTATGATAATCGATGCTTCAGCGGAAGCTTGTCGTTTCTCGTAGATGAGCGGAAAAACTTCGCGTTTACGACGAAACGATTTCGGCGTATCTTATCTTGAGATTTCGAAGAAACCTCAAAGATTATATCTCGAGATTTCGAAGAGATCGAAAACGTTTATCTAATTATGTAAATAGCGTACGAAAATGCTGGATTGTATTATTAGCGATTAAACGGCCAAATAAATTTTTACGTAATATCAGGCGTGTGTCTATTCGATGTATGTTCTCCCCAACCATCATGCAGCGTACGTAGTTCAGAGCGGAACAAATAGTTTCTAGACCAAATGTAAAACGCCTCCGATACCGGATGTTTGGTGCTATCGATTGTTGGTAAAAAACGTGCGTTTAACCATCGACGCGATGCGATATCGCTGAAAAACATAACGCGTCCACTGTTTCGACAGCAGCTCCAATAAACAATTTTACGAAAGATCGTAATTTTGCTGGCGGTCGTAGCGTTCCAATTCGGACGAAAGATCATGATCGTGCGATTTCGCCGGAATAGATAACAGACGATGAGAATCAACAACATCCGACGCCCGTAAATTATACGATATTTCCGCTTATCCAGGATCGAGAAAGTGCGCTGATCGAAAACAAACTGTATTGTTTAGCGTGATACTTCAACTTCTGCGGTAAATACAGGGCCGTCCGTTTAGTTCAACGTTTTAGCATCGTGTTGGAGATCCTGCCGAAGGCGTTCGCGAACAATTGCAAGCAGGTGAACCGGCCAATCTAAACATCCCGTTATATGTATGTATACGATCACTTGGATTATTTGTTTAGTCCTTTCAGGGGATCGTTACTCTCTGAGCGAACATGATTTCCGCTTCCCAAGAGCAGGCTGTGGAAATCAAAAAATTATCTTACGCGATAATTCGTGCTAGAATACCGCGATACGGAAAGTTTGAAACGCGAAAATGTAATGGCAAGTAATCGATTTAATCTTTGATCGAAACTAATCGGAGATTAGTAAACATCGCCCGTTAAACGGCTCGTTACAAAACGTCGATTCGCTTTGACGAACTGCGCGACGATAAGTTTGATCGTGCGCTGTTTATTCGTTATTTACGAGTAATCTTGCATAAATATACGTCGCAATAATTATAACGAATTATACGTTGACGGGTATTTGGACGCGCACGTACATACGTCGCGTATGCAAACTAAGGAGAAGGATATAAAATTTACGATATAATATATAATGTACGCAAATACATTAGTCATACACGTTCGATTCCAATTATTACCTGGCAACAACACATAGATCGCACTTTGTATTACACATTACGAAACGTAATTGTAAACGCGTCGTTGATTTGTAGGTAAATGCGATGCATCGTTATCGTATTCGATGACAGGGACTCGTTCAACATCCGGAAAGGTGAAAAAACTTTGACGCGATGATTCTTCGATCCAACAGCTACTTTACATTCATTACCATCGTTGACGCGTTTCGGTGCCGGGGCGGACATGGACACGCTCCATTGGTCGAAACTTCATCAACGTCGCGATAATCGTGTCGTCGATTGCGACAGATATTCTATTTTCACTGAATTAGTTGCCGCCGCGCGACAACCAATTGCAGGAAAAATTCAATTAGCATTACCAACGTTCGCAGTAATCGCTTTACAGATTGCCAGACGCGTTAAAGCGTGACCATCAACTTTTCCCTTTATCGCGTTTCATCGTATTCTGGAAAACTCGTGGGTTATCGATGACGAGAAGAAAAAATCGCTGCACAAATTCGAGTGAGTTGAATAGCATAACGATCTAGAAGTATAACTACCGTGTAAATTTCAAGTTGGTTCGCGTAACTTCAATCTCGTATGAAATATTCCGCGAAATGAGGGAAAACCTCGTAAGCAAGACTCGTTGCATCGCGTAATAAGTACGGGAATAATAGGAAAACTAATAAAGTTAGCTGACAGGAAAGGTGGAGGTTTTCGGGATTCGAGATGAATAGGCAGCGGGGCTCACTGGCGAGAAGATACATAGTTGTTAGGCGACAGCAAGCGTATCCAGTCACGAACGGACCGGGCAAAGTGTAAGCAAATGCGGCGTGCATTCGCCACTATAATGAAGATGCAAGCGGACCGGTAACGGTTGAATGCAGTTGCGTATTACAGAGGCGTACAGAGGCGGAGGAACCACCGTGTCGGACAGATAATTAGGTTATACTTTGTAGCGCGGCAAGCATGGTATTATCGTTATCGTCATGGGAAACGACGCTCGTAGAACGCCGCGGGGTATTCGTGTTATTTTCAACGAACCTGCCACCCCGTCATCGCTTATACCGGTTAAATCTCGCTCGTCCGCGGTAAATGCTCCCCGCGAGGTGAATAAATCCTTTAATTTGCGTCGGTGGCTTTCAACAATTCATAGATTTTTCAATTTTTCCATTTTCCTTGTTCTCACCCAACTTTCAGCCGTTCCTCCCGCCGCTTACCTCCGACCTTTCCGATTCCTATTGCGCGTAATTTCGCTGGCACGCGCAATTACCGTCGAGATATAATTTCGTTTCAAGAACGGCGCGCGTTACCTTCGTTCACCGAACTGTCCAAGAGTTAAAACGGTGCTTCGACCAATCACGGAATATTTGTAGAGTCGCAACGACATGGAAAGCGTGGTGGAAAATTTTAGCCCGAGTCTCGGCTAACGGCTGAAAAATTTGTTCGCGGAACGACGTTTCACGGGACGGACCAAGAGCCAAGAACGAAACTCTTCAACGGGCCCGATATTTTGCCATTCGCGTTCCTAACTTTCCAGACTTGATTCTCTTGCGACCGTCCCCAAAGTTGAAGGAATTTAATCGACGTGAAATGACCGAAGCTGGGGCTGACGCCACGTATTCCAAGCATCGAATTATGTCTATTCCTCGCCAACTTTTCGCCGATCGTTCGCCGAAAACGTGCACGACAAAGAAAAAATAGACGGGAAATAATTTCTACGAACGTCCTTGTTGGCGTAAAGAACGATTACCCGTACGAGCCACCGCCATTCGTCGTACAAATATATTGGGTTAGCAACTAAGTGATTGCGGATTTTGTCATTAGGTGGTAATGACAAAATCCGCAATCGCTTAGTTGCCAACCCAATATTAGCTTAAAGAAACTCTACGGTTTGCGTTACGCCGGACCACATAATTTTCGGGGGATTAGTTCGTTTAATCGAATCAGAATAGTTATAGTGTATTCGTTATATTCCACTAACCGATATCAACCATGTACCTAAAATAATTGCAGCCATTTACGGCAATATAGTCTTCGTTAAATAATTCATGACTGCCCCACGGATGATGAATATGATTTGTAATGCTAAGAATAGTACAGACACAGTATGGAACATCCAATGAAATTACCTTTATCTCAATGTCCAATACTATTATATTTATGGCGCATAAATTATTATAAATCGTAGAGTTAGAAGCAATCCCACGACGAGAAATTGAAACGCGGTGGCGGCGACGGTGGCACAGTGGATTTCATTTAATTTTAGCGCGGAAGATTCGTTTGTACACAGCCGATGGTGCACCACCGTGTTTACCGTATCGATACAACCGTGTTCGAGTTCGAGGACTTACTTTAATACCATTAAAACTTGACCACATCCGTTCGAAATTATCGATAAAAGTTTCTAATGCTTTTCATAGCCTTGGATTACGCGCAAATTCGATAAGACTAAAGAATTGTACCGCGCACGAATCGCAAGGATAAAACGGGACTACCGATCTCGCCGATATTTATCGTTGATACGAACGGATCGAGAAAGAACGATCGACTCGAACGATTATTCGAACGTTACCTTCTAGCTTTTTGAGAAAGGTCGTACGTAATGAATATCCTCGTTAATTCATTTGCGTGTCGCAAAGCAGAAAATTTAATATGGAATAACGCATAATTTTAATTAACGTAACAGTAATTATAAAATGTAATTACACACGTAAATACCATCGACCATTAAGTGCATTCGATATGCAGCGATTGAATCGATCCAGCTAATAATGGGAAAATTAAAGTTCGCGCAGGATATCGTTCCAGGTAGGATATCCGAGATAGATAGGTACTTTCCGTGCATGTTCGATAACTGAAATATCAGTATCATACCGCGTATCATACCGACGGTAAATGTTGTTCAATCGGAGAAACGAAAGGATGACGAAATTACACCTAATGCCGTTTCGTAATTTGTTCAGTGACCTAATTCAAAGCGACGGCCGCTCCAAGATTTAGTGCGATTTAATCCACCTGTTGGCGAAATAAATCCATCGGGACGATTCGATCCCGATCCCGTGTCATCGTCTCCAACTTTTTGAATTTCCTTCGGCGAGAAAAATCCGATCGACGGTAAATCTTCGAGCCTGACAATCACGACGGCTCGAGAACACACCCTCGTTTTTACTCCTCTCCGGAGGAGAATTGCTTTATCGCTACCGCGCTACGACGCGACGCGACGTCCCGACCTTCTCGCTTCGACGTCGTCTAATCTCTTTCTTTCCACGGTCTTCTATACAACTTCGATTCGATGTGGCACAACCGACTTCATCGATCCACGCGACAATCGAAACACCCTCTAACACGCTTTCTACCCGGCAAATCGACTGCTCGAATATCAGGATTCGATTCCAGTTCACACGATCATATGCATGAGCCGCGATACTCTGAAACCCGAGGTACACGAGCTTCCACGCTGCGCGATGAAAAATACATTGGACAAAATAGGTTTATGGTACGGAGCTAGCTACCGCGTGCACGTTATTAACGCTCATATACAATTTACAAGGGTAGAAAATTGATTTCATAACAGCGTCGGAAGACGATAGCGTACATCGCTCGGCATGGTGCCGTAGCTAATTGTTTTCCATAACGCGCGTGAAATATTCTCGTCAGAGTAAAATGATACGACGTAAAATCCGATTTCGTCTATCTCGTAGATGCGCTTTCTTCTCGAGTCCGTGACGTTCCCCACGGAATGGATGATCTGATAACGCGTAAACGTTTCCGATCGTTCCGTATCACGACGTCACACATCAACAACAACGAACAAAGAGCTAACGTGGTTTAATTATACGTAAAACCTTTCAGTTTGGAAGATGTAAAATGGCACGTCCGGTGATTCATCGATTCGATGTCTCAACTTTCTCCTCTGTCCTTCTGTCGGACTCTCGAATCGTCGTGACTCTCGCAATGCGGGACGTAAT